TCTCATCTGAATATGTGATAAAACAAAAACCTCTTCATTTGTTTTTGCATCCACGGGGAAGTTCAATATTTTCAACCCGTCCAACGGCTCCAAAATACTCCGTTCTTCAGAAGTATCTGGGCTCAATCCACCCCAAAAACCTTTTTGGGAGCTCCTTCCCTTTTAAAGCTTTGGCCCTTTGGGGCCTATCAATTTGCCATCCAGTTTGTGTTCTTTCCGTTCCAAAACCTCATCCACACTAGCAGCGTTTTTGAAAAGCATAAATCCAAATCCCCTTGACCTTCCGGTGACTGGATCTGTTTTAATTGTGCAGTCTCCAACTTCCTCACATCAAGCTAAGTATCAGTCAGATCCTTCTTGCTTGTATCCCCGCTCAAGTCTCCAGTCATCCCGCTGATCCTTGGTCGTGTTGATCTCCATGGTGGCCAAGTTCCTGGCTGGGGGTGCTGGTGCGCGGTTAGGGTCGGTGCCAGGAAGCGCTGTATGGAGCTGGATTTAAAAATGGTGGCGGGAGACTCACAGCTCTTAAAACAGTGCTTGGTGTGCACAGAGGAAGTTCACACACTAGACTTTAATTCCATTGCCTTTCCCAGCAGGCCTTACTTTAGGAAATGGAATGCCGTGTCTTCCTTACCCATCTCAATACACCCCTTTAAGTCCAAACTAAGTCCTCTCTACCATCACGGATGCCCATTTAGAGAAGTGAAGATAAAAGCAATGACCACATAAAACTTTATTCCTTGTTTTCTCATATTTAGTACACATACTTGAAACAACTTTACCCTTGATTAGGTGGCAAAGGAGCTATCATTTTCTATGTGTTTCCTCTCTCCACCCAGAGGTAATGGGAATGAAGGAGCATTCCATGGCATGTTCCCTAGCACTTGACACAGGTGTTCTGTGCATGGTGAGCACTAAAGTTTCTTGTAATCAATGTTTTCCAGAATGCAAAATCTCATGGCATTTAACTTTTCTTAAAATGACACATTGCAATGATTCCAAACATTTCTACCCACATATAGGTAAGCAGAGTAAAAGCCCAACAAGTTGTTTACAAGTTTTGTATTGTGTCAAACTGTCTTCATATACAAGAGCGTAAGTGAAAAATATCTCTCCCTTTGCCTCCCCAACATCACAGACCAATTCCTGCTAATATATCATGAAGTTAAAACATATTTCCCTTTCTGAATTATACAGTTAATTCTAGACACTAGCTTCTAAATTTTGTAACTTACCAATCTAGTAGGGCATGAATACTTCCAGTGCTTTTCAACTTGTCCCTGAATTTTTCTCTCTTCAAAGTTCCAGGCAGTAATTGATTTTAAATGCCCTCAAATTGGATAAAGCTGACTACTTAGAGCTTATAAATTACATGCACTATAAATATATCCTTCAAACTAGCACCATGAAGAGAATTCTCAATACTAATTGATGAGCTAATTAATCCAACAATCAAATATGTAACAGTGATAGTCTTTTTTGATTTTTTTTGAGAGGACATTTATTAAAGCTGGGGACAGTGAAACAAGGAAGGGCTTGGGGGAGAAGCAGCAACAGGGGAGCCTGGGCAAAGCTGCTGCTGGCTCACTGGGAGGTAAGTCACAGAGACCGAAGTGAGCCAAGAAGGAGCTGCTGCTGACTTAACTGAAAGGTCAGAGAAAAGGGGGCTTTGGAGACGGGTTGGGGATTAGCCCAGGATGAGCTGCAGCTGCCCATTGCTCCTCTGGTTGCAAGTCTCATAGGGACGGTTAGAGTGTACAAGAGGCACACCTGAGAGGGAAGAAAGGCGTGGGCGTGCTCCTGAAAGGGAAAGCCCTGGCAATGATAGTCTTAAAAACACTGATTTGTTATTTTTCTTATATACAACTCAAATTCCCTCCGGTATTACATATTTTTTCTTTCTGGCAATGTTCTCTGCTACCTTGTCTATCCCAAATAATTATATAGCTAGCTGTCCACTTCTTGGTTGATGCTCATAACATTTCCCCTAGGTCTTTAGTAATGAGTGCTAAGGCATTAAACTTAAAAGGCTCTAGGCTGGTTTAAATATGGTGAAATACTGTTAAAACAGAATTATACTGCATTTATTTTCTACCTTCATGCCTCTCCATGAACCAGTCTATGGTTCCTGTAAGATTGTCCTGCAAAATTTGAATTCTGGGCCTTTTACTTCTGAATGGCTTGAGTACCATAAAACATAACTTATTTGGTAGCAAAAACATTTCCAGGAGTTTCAAAAGGAACCACTACTCAGCTCAAAAAGTTACAACTATTATTTTTCTTTAAACTTGGAACATACAGCATTGATTATAAGGAAAAATACAACCCTGTCCTTCTGCCTGTAAATAAAAAGGACACAGTAAGTTGAGCTGTGTGCTTTTTAAGAGGCACTAACAAAGTCCTGTTCTTAGAGGTTGAAGTGGACAAGAACACTGCTTCAGTGATATGTAATGTTCAACATATGCCACATTACTTAGCATTTATGCACTTAATCTTCACACATAACCAGTTCAGATATCAAAACAATCCTGATTCTAAGAGAGAATTCCACCAACATTTAAAGCTGTTTCTTCCCAGGACAATAGATTATCAAAGTGGTATTCTCTTACGCTAAGCTTTGTCAAGGCTCAGAAATGTGAGGTGAACTTTGCAAAGTCCTTGTAAAGAAATCTTCAGTAAGAAACTCAACGTATGGGAATTTTAAAGCTTCAAGACTGGCTCGTTAAATATAAATACCACAGGCTTTCTCAGAGCACCGAGTCTAGTGATTGTCAGTGTCAAGGAGGCACATACACAATTTTACTCAAACTCCTGAGGTCTCTTCTCTGTATGGAAAATGCAGTCAGTCTGACAAAGGGCCTAACAACATTTTGCCAGGCCTAGCTCTTCTAAAGAGCGCAGGGAATACCCAAGGTAATCTACAGATTCAACGCAATCCCTATTAAAATACCAACGGCATATTTCACAGAGCTAGAACAAATACTCCAAAAATTTATATGGAATCAAAAAAGACCCCAAATAGCTGCAGCAATTTCAAGAAAGAAAAATAAAGGTGGATGAATCACAATAGCAGATTTCAAGTTATACTACAAAGCCACTGTAATGAAAGCAGCCTGGTACTGGCACAAGAACAGGCATACAGATCAACAGAACAGAACAGAGAACCCAGAAATCAAT